CTACGCTGTATAATTTGTGCACAGATTTCATTTTAAATGAACTAAGTGAAAAAGAAGTTCAAATGGCTTACGGATACGAACTTCTGCCGGATTTAGATAGACTAACCATAATGGGATTTGCTGATGATTTAGTTATTATTGGAAAAGACAAACAAAGTGTTGCAACCCTTACTTCAATGGCCATTAATTTACTTAATTCGATCGGACTAGAAATAAACCCCAACAAATGTCAGTCTATCGTGATTGAAAAAGGGCTTCTAGTTGAAAGTAATATCTGGTTAGATGGAAACTTATTCATAAAAAGTATTTCAGATAGTGAAAACATAAAGTATTTAGGTGTTAACTTTTCCCAAGGGATCGTTTTTAATAAAGAAAGAATAATTAAACAATTCAAATCCCAATTAGAAAGACTAACATCGACTACATTACTTTTGTCAAGCCAAAAGTTTAATATAATTAATCAATGTATATGGCCAACGTTAATATATCCATTTCAAAATGCTCCACTCCATAAATTACCAGTAGCATTTTTAACTGACTTGGACAAACTGGTTAAAAGTAGTGTTAAAGAAATATTAAGCTTACCAACTGACACTCCAGATTTTATGTTATATAGCCCAAAAAAATATAAAGGACTTGGATTAATTAAGGCTCAATGGGAAGCATATATTCAACAACTTAATTCTATACAAATACTCAGACGGGTTAAAAATTGTTATACAATAAATGAAGACAAATTTAAACGGATAGAAACAATTTGTTTAAAAAAATTACACCTAGAAGAAATTGATCGTAATCAAACAATAAATACCCAAAAATTAAGAAATGACTTAAGAGAAAAAGAGTTTGAAAATTGGAAAAGCTTAAAACAGAAGGGTAAAGGTGTTGAACTTTTCAAGGACTATACTCCGGGAAATAAAAGTATTATTAATAAAGAAGGCTTGTCAGAATCTGAGTGGAAAGACAGTATAAAAATGATTGCAAATGTGGTGCCAGTGCGTGTTCTCCACGGCAGAAGTCAGGGCAATAACCGCTGCAGGCATGCCTGTGGTGAGATTGAAACCCTTGCACATGCCCTTGGCTTCTGTCCGTTTGCTGAACTTCTAAGAAACACAAGGCACCACAAAATAAGAAGTATCATAGCAAATGCCTTCCGAAAAAGGTATAATACATGGGAAGTGCAAGAAGAAGTACACTGTCTTTCTTCTAACGGAAGCACCAGAAGAGTTGATATTTTATTGATTGAAAGAGAAACTAACAAAGGCATAATTCTCGATCCTACAATTCGATTTGAAATAAACATAAATCAAGCTAACGAAGTAAATGAAGAAAAGAAAAAAAATTATGATTCTACCTTTGAATATTTCAAGCAAAATTTTAAAATTTCGAAAATTGAGGTGATTGGATTGTTTATTGGTTCTAGAGGAACATTATCAAAATTTTTTGTGAACTTTTGGAAACAATATATGATTTGGACAGATCCTTTTTGAAAATTATTATTCATGAAACATTAAGAGGTTCATTGGCCATAATGAGAAATCATCTATATGGAAAACATCAAAATTAATCAGTCTTATATAGCTGTATAATCCTTCGATATTTTATGTTTACTATTTTTCTGTGTCTTTGGCAACCTTATTTTTTAAGGCAGAGGTATTTATTGTTACAAATAAATTCTTTTCTCTACTGGAACTATTTTTAGCGAATTTCCCATATAGAGAATAAGCTATTACCGTAGGTCTCATGGTAAGACCTAGACCCGGGACCGATTAAATTTTTCGTTTTGAGGTCCCCAGAGGCCAAAACCACCATCCGTTCAAATTCATATATATATATATTTAAATATATATGTGTCCGTTAGCGCGATAATTCAAGCAAAAATTATCCGATTTTGATGAAATTTGGTAGAAACCTGTAAACCTACGTTCATTCAAACATGTTCGCGAACCAGCATAATCAGACTATGGGAACAGGGGTTTATGGGCTAAAAATTGGTTTTTCCCATTTTTCACCCTAAAAACACAAAATTTCATAATTTCTCTTCAAACCATTTTGTAGAGCTTAAAAAAAGAATTAATTTTGTATATTGAAGCGTTGTTGTATGCCCAACTGTTACAGAGATAGTAAAAAAAAATTGTAAATTTAAAATACCCATGTTATTCTTATGGAGAATAAATAAACTGTTGTAGTTTGCTTGTTTATGGATATCTTTTAACCATATTTGTCAATTTTGTTTATTTCACACTAAGCTATCAACATTTCAATAAAAAAACACACCTCAATATATTCCCTGTAGCAGCAAACCTAAGTACTCACTAAAATTAATGTTATTTAAATAGGAAATAAACCTAACAATTAGCAATATTTTAGTTTAGTGTAAATCCAGCCGGGTTTAAATGGAAATTCCCTTAGTCTGCAGGTTTGGGTCTTTGGATAGCTCATTCCCTGTGGATTTGCAAATAATTAGTTATAAAAGTACTCTATGTTTTTGTTAGGATTTATGGTGGAAATTAAAAATTACTTGGTTTCCATAAGAAATACATTGAAAACGGAGGTTTTCACATTTTTATTTGGAGGCAACTGTTGACTGTCTTTATGGAGTATTATCGATAGTCAATGGTATTATTAAGACATGCAAAACATTAATTTGTAGGAAATGTTATTCTCTTTCAAAATATCACCTACCACTTCTGTCAATTTCCTCACCATTCAACCGTTTTCTGACACATACCAATACTTTCTCCCATTCGCTTGTCAACAACCTCATGGGTAAGCAATGGGAGTAACTATAATATTTTATAGGGAAAATCACAAAAGTTGCAATGAACCTTAATTACAGCAATGGGGGTTGCACTATTATGTTTAGAATGGTAAGGACCCTAAAAGATTTATTCAAAATCAAACCAGGATCAAAATCAGAACTGGTTTTTTAATCCGTTTTTTGTTGTTGTTATTTTATGAGATTTATTGGAAAAATAACACAATTTACAATAACTTTTGAACCGTAATTTTTTCAGCAATGGGGGCAGCAGTCACTATCTTGTTTAGAATTAAGGAACATAACATAACAGACTAACTTTAATCAGAACCGGTTTTTTTTTTTTAAATCTGATTTTTTTGTTTTTTATAGGAAAGTAAAGATGACTTTTTGAACTGTAATTTTTACAGCAAAGGTAATTGACTTTGATGTTTAAAGTTTTAGTATTTTTCCGTAGCACAACAATTAAAAATAATTTTACTAACTCTGTTGGTTGAGTTAAAAGATTAGCAAGCTTATATTGTTCTAGATTTCCTATTTAACAATGGTCATTTATCTAATTTTAATGGTTATTTGTGCAACTAGTGAGCAAAGAAAGCAATTGACTCACTCGAGAGAAATACTTACTCACGAATGGTTTCTCGAGTGAGGCAATTGTACTTTGAACTCGAGTTGCACATTATACTTTTCCTACAGTTACCATAAAACAAATAAATTGGTGAAGAAACATAACCTATTTTTACACAGAAGTGAACTTTTAATATTACATTTAATGTGAAGTGACAAATACAACAGTACAACAGCTGACCAGCTGATTTATAGCCAGTGCTGCCAACGTATTTCGTGCGCATACGACTTGCCTGCATGTTACGCGCTCACTATTTCGTGCCTTCAAGTTGCAAATCTGGAGTGAGACAAAGTAATTAGAGTGAGACAATGTTAACATTGTCTCACTGATGAGCGAATTGGCCACTTTGTTTTTTCAAATCAGTGAGAGAACATGTACATTGTTAGGTAACTGTAGGAAAAAAATATTTACCTACGACCGTTTTTTAAAGTAGCCATTTCAGTCCAGTTCTTAGAATTGAAAAGTTTCACTTTACAGCTGTTTACTTTCATATCCGCATAGTTTCATTTCATATCCGCATAGTTTTCTCATATCCACACAGGTAACGGACCAATGAGGTTCAAGTATTGAGAGAAAAGAATTAAAATTGTAATGCTTCGAACGTCAACTAATCAGCTGATCAGTTGACCAATTTAATTGTTGATCCGACTTGTTCATGTTGATACTCGCGTATTCTTAATTAAGTTGGTGGAAGTCCAAAAATAAATGAAATATTTGCCGAATTGTACATGATACAATATTATTTATGGTAAGAATGCTGCTAGCAATGTAATATTTAACGAAGTTTAACAAACACGTAATTACAGGAAATCAGCTGATTATACAACAAGTCGTTGCATCACTTTCAGTGGCAATGACAATACACGAAAACATAACCTCTCTAAAAAGTTATCATTAGTGATTGTTAGTAATTAAATCCAGATTGATAGTAATTAAAAAAACGGTCGTAGGTAAAGTAGTGTACGCAACTCGCGTTAATAGTCTTTACGACACTCGTAGAAGTTTTTAAGGCACTCGCCAAGGTGCCTTAAATTTTCTACTCGTGTCGTAAAGACTCACTTAACGCAATCGTTGCGTAAACTACTATATCCTATTTGTTTGTGTAACATTTTTACCATATAGGATGATAATTTAGATAAATACAAGTTTAGAAGCATAATAAATCATCTTGCTAATGGGTCTCTGAAGAAATCCTAAGATTATAATAAGTGTGTTAAATTTAGTATGGCTGTGAATCTAATCATTTGTATTTAACCAGTTTGCAGTTCTCTTCAATTATAAAACAATTTTTGGTTTTTATAATATAGGAATATTTTTTTTATAACAAATACAAATTTATTTACTATAATTTATGATCAATATATTATTGTGCTTGATATTTTTTTCAACAGTGCAGGACATAATGCTTTAATAATTGACTTTAAAAAAATATCAATTCTTAACCTTCATTGGCACTATGAATGTAAATGGAAATCCAAACAAGTGAATGAATTCTTAGAATCACTTAACCTGTTAAAAGCTACCATTTAATGAGCTTGCGGAAGTGTTGGCGGGAATGGGCTCTTAGTGATCAAGATTAGTTTGTCCCAGTTGTATTTTTAGCTTCTTGGATCTCTTGGATCCCTCTCTTCTATGCCCAGTTTCACTACAACAACACCTTTTCTTTGAGTCAGTGGAATAGATAGATTAAGTAAAATGAAGGATGGTAAGAACTCTGTGTTAATTTTCAAAGCCATAGCTGATGACTTGGGTGATAAAGATCCTTATGTGAGTGCCTTAACTGAGCAAGGCTATAGTGTACTGACAGTTCCAGTTCTTGAGCTAAAATATAGGAATTTGATTGTGCTCAAAGAAAAACTTGATCGGCCAGAAAAATATGGAGGTAAGTTAACTAAACATTTTATTTTATATTTTCAGTCTTGCCATTGATAATATTTAATTCACACAAATGATATATTTTATTCTGTACAATAATAGTTCTCTTTTGGTAAAAACTATCATTACTTATTAAAAAGCAACAGCTTAATGATAATCATATCTTATGTCCATAAATAATATTCTAGTAATTACTTCTTAAGATTGGTGATTCCATTTTACTACCCTCAATTTTACCACGCTTGTAATATATACTAATCAAAATAAAATGAGAAGTATACTTAAAAAATAACCTATAGTTTAAACCGAAATAAGAAACAAATTTGAAGAGAGATTATCGAATTCAGACGCCTAAGTGTTTGAAATGAAATGTGTTTATTGTCCTTTGAATTTCTACAAATCATTGACAATGTCATAAAATAGCTAAAGTTATAGCATAGTCAGTTAATAAATAAAATATAGCTAACTAGAGAATGAGACATGTTACAATTTATACTGTATTTTAAATATGGAAAGTAAATAAAGATACGTCTTATAACACTTAAAACATATATTTACGCTTATACTGTTACTCACAAGACGGTAAATATACAAAAGATGGTAAGTGGTGATCGATTTCGATTGGACACTCCAATCATCATCAGACCCAATAGGCGAATGTATATATAGCGAATGAGATTTGCCTATTGGGTCTGATGATGATTGGAGTGTCCAATCGAAATCGATCACCACTTACCATCTTTTGTATATTTACCATCTTGTGAGTAACAGTATAAGCGTAAATATATGTTTTAAGTCTTATAAGACGTATCTTTATTTACTTTCCGTAAAATTAATAACACGTACAATGCTGATCAAGAAGTTATTTATTTTAAATACAATTGAATAATCTTATTCTTAAGAAAATTTGGTAGCATTTACAATCATGGAAGTGATTAAATCCACAAACATCTATAAACAACAAAATCCAACAGTACTTTGGTCAATTTGCCAACTCTACTTACAAATTTAAAAACCTGTTTTCTTTTGAAAGCTTAACCAATTTGCCACAGAAAATAGGTAAAAATCATGAAAATTTAAAAAAATATTTTTTTTCACTTCTTTGTACATTGGACACTATTACATCCAAAAAGTATGATATAATACATGTCTGAATGTTATTATATGTTATAACCAACGGGTTTTGCTCTTTACGATAGCTACAAGATCATAGGACACCTTCTTATTCAAACGCGGATTTCCGCAACATTGAAATTTCACATTTTTAAGACAAAATATGATATATCTTAAGAGCCACTAAAGTTACAATGTTGAAATTTTTACTAATTATTCTAGATATTTAGGTAGAATTAGGTAGCCTATCTAAGTTAATTAGGTACAAAAAAATATTTGGTAATTCTTTTTTCTAAAGAAAAATTACCTATATTTAATGTGTCACAGCAAAAAAAGTATCTGAGATACCGGTATTATTAAGAATCTACCTAAATATTAAGTATAGATAACTGTATTTAAAAAACCACCAAATTTATCAAAATCCATGAAGAACTCTCTTCAGAATATCAATTTTTAAAAACCCTTACAAATTGACCGAAAAACCTCTATTTTATTTTTTTACCACCTTATAATTTATATTTAGAAGTAAACCAAAATGTTTCTATTTTTTGTTAGTTATACCCTACTAGAAAAAAATTGTTTCATGACTTACCTAATTAAATTTTAAAACTTCACTCTTTTCAGTTGGGAATCCCCTTAACAAGACGTTGAAGTAGGTACACATTGAAATAATTATGTACCTAATACAAATTATATATCAGCGCAAATGATTAAATATTAAGAAAATCAAGTTGATTTTGAATCCAATCACAATTAATTTTATATTTTCTTTCAACCATTCAGAAAATGTTGTTTCACAAGGCAAAGGAACTGATCTTATAATACTACATTATTTATTAACTGCATTATTTGTTAACAAAGTGCAGTTTACAAAATATTATTAAGTATAATAATTTTTATGATTGTTTCTATCAACTGTAGGATATGACAAGCGGTGGGTTAATGTACCTTGATTTGTCGGGCTTACTTTACGAAACTGCATTATTGTCGGGACCACATAAGTTTGCAGTTGAGGGAGGAGCCTATTTACCATATGGTTTTCAATGAACCAATGAGAACGGTGTGGTGTTGCCAAATCTAACAATACCAGCTGATTTGAAAATATAGCTTTGTATATTTTTATTAGTGTTGTCAATGGGTGATGTGGCAACGTCGCACTAGCCTCGTCTTGTGATTGGCTGCCACCAACTGCAAACTTACGTGGTCCCGACAATAGAAAAGTTTACCTAATGTGAATATAAATCTATCTATATAATTAATACGCTACATGAAACTTTGTCGGTTGAACTCCTCCGCCATTTCTTACCCGATTTTATCCATTGACGTCTGATTGGAAACAGCGTGTAGCGTAGATTTGCAAACTGGCCTTACATTTTTGAAAAAGTCCCTTGGGCTCTGCCCCAGTGGCTTTGGAAGTTCCCATGTTATCCTTATGAAGAACATAATTGTTTACATTTTGATCAGCTGTATAGTTTAATTGCTGTTATTTATTTTTCAATTCAATGAAACGCATTGAGTACAATGATTTACTATTTGAGTTTATGTAAACATGGTAGTATGGTTGTATCTTAAATTTGTGTATTTATCGTTGTTTTTTGTCGCTATGACAGATCGTGTTAGCATGATTGTAATTTAAATTTGTGCATTTATCGTTATTTTATGTACAGTAGACTCTTTCTTATCCGGACTCCTCGGGACCGAGGCCAGTCCGGATAACGGGTTTTCCGGTTAAACCAACGTCCCCAAAAACTTGTTAAAACAGACCGTTTACTGTGATACTCGACATAAATTTAGGAGAGCATTGTATTTAGATACGTGATCACTGGTCTCAAATCTTTCCCACGAGATCAGTCGTTTTAGTACCGCCCACTTCCTGCCGATCTAGTCCGGTTAAACCATTGTGCTGATAAAAATTGTCTGGTTAAAGAGATGTCATTTCCGACGAGTGTAGTCCGGTTAAACCGATGTACTGTTAAAAGGTGTCCGGATAAGAGGGAGTCTACTGTAGCTATAATTTGTTTATTTGTTGTTTTTTTTTCTTTTAAATGCCTCCGACGGGACGACAACAAAACATACAGACAGGAGGCGTAATCGTGATAACGACCGCAGCTACAGAACAGTGGCGCGTAATAGTCTTAACTCATCACAGTCAGCACCTGATCCTGATCCAATCTCAACTATTAGGTTACAAATGTGCCCTAACACTACCCCAAAACGACTTTTCGTTCTCAATTGGTCCTCTACCAATGACCTGTGATGCCTGTACAGCGAGGCATTTTGAGAAGGAGAAAACCAGCCAGAATGCTTTAGGTTTATCAATAACGAAGATAAACATTGTCTGAGTTATACACCATTAGTCTTTTGAGTTGACTCTTTTAAACTCATTGTAATTTGACTGTTATTCGTTTTGAAATAACTCCTGTAATACTTTGCATTTGCTCGAATTCGAGCAACATGTACACCTGTACTGTATTATCAGAGTATACATCTAACAAATGGTGTGTATGCAAGAAAACAGTGATTGGCAGCACACAGTCCATGTTGATACTCACTATGATTTTCCTACTAGGGATGATACTGAGCAACCCACGCTGCGTGCAGGCCATAGCAGAAGCTGTGGGAGGGGCAGAGGGACTCCCTGAGGAATGGAGAGAGAGACCTGCCTACACTGTAGGGGAGACCACAGCACAACTAGCCTCGGAACTGCTGGAACTAGACACCTCGGACACTGCCTCAGCCAACGCTGCTTCTCTGGCATCCATCATACTTAAGAGTGAGTCACTAATCCAAACGAAGAGTCCAAGGGAAAAATGGGCTAACCTCGCAAAAGTAAAATTTCCAAGAGAGCCAAAAGAAGGTTTTTCAAGGAACTAATTGCCAGACCATTGCTTGAAAAATTGAATGGGGGTTGCCCTGTTCTTGCCTATGCTCATTGTGGGTTGTCCCATTCTTCCCCTGTATGTGTTTATTTCAAAGGTGATTTACTCGTGTAAGGAGCCCATTTTTGTCAGTTTTCAATATGGCAAACTGTTTGGATTTAAAAGATGTATTCAGAACAGTTCATAACTAAATTTTGCATTTTTTGAGGGTTAGCCCGTTTTTCCCTTGGACTCTTCAACATCATAATTCAGGAAAAATATGTAATTGCTAGAGTACTTGTAAAATTGAGTTACTGCACTAACCGTACTTACTAAGGCATTAAATTCAAAATGATAGTAAATCAACACTTTCCATGGTGCATAGTGTTTGTTTTTCTGAAACATTTTTATCAATAAATAAAATGATGTCTTTATAAATCAACCAGGAATGAAAAAAACTTAAAATAAAACAGTAATATTGTTTGTTGTAAACAAATTGTCAAACTACATTAAGTGACATGATCAAGTCGGACTACACAATGTGGATCAATCAATGAATGATTGTCGACTTTAATCTCCAATAGTTTCAATTTGTCAAACCCATGGTGTAAATGTCCCTGATGTAGTCCTTGGTTGGTAAGGGAAAGGAAAGTGTACATATAGTATAGGATGAGAGTGAGAGCACCAGTGAGAATGACCGTTTAATCTTGAGTGTCCGACAAGCTTGAGTGTCTGGATTTACTTATATCCGACATAGAAAAATGAACTCAGTGTTGGGAATAGTTTAAACGTGTTGCCTGTGTCTTCCTGTACTTCCCAATAAAACTTTATGTATTGTTATGTTAAAACAGAGTGTTGAAAAATACAATTTGTAACAAATAAATTGATGCACTAGTGAATGACCATAAAACATTTTAAAGTTGTACAAACCCTCCTCATTTTCACCAATAATACGATCAAGAGTCTCACAAAGAAATGGGACACCCTATAGAAAAATAACCATTTCAGGATCATTAGAATATAAGTTAGATTCTAGTGAATAACCCCTTTTCATCTAGTATAATATTGTATCCCTTAATCTTTGGTCAAATTCTAGTTATATTGTACCCACATGATTTCTGATGAGATTTTGTGAAAAACTTTGGAAGAAAATCCATTTAAATCTAGCTAGTTAAAAACCAAATGGTCATTCACTGGTTACGCCCAACGTCGTGGTCCAGTAAATGACAGCCTGTTTAGATACTTATTTGGGATTTTGATCTTAATTGAGAACTGAACTGTTACACAGTTAAGCAGGAAACGCTCTCTGACAAGACACCTTCCGACAAGTCTCCGACACCTTCCAACAAAATTACTTTGCATGGCTTTAAATGGACTGTAACCCACTAGTCCGACGCTCTCCGTTCCAACACCTTCCGACAACATTGCTCTCTGGGGCATTATTGGATCCGATTTTTCTCCAGTCTGCGTGCAGTGCACCAGACCTAGATTAGTCACTGTCTAGCTACGTGTATGGCCTGAATATTGACGAATGTTTGATCAAAGCAGTTTGGCAGTATCCGTTTCTTTATACAGTAGGTTATAAAAGCAGCCTGATGAACATATTCTGATGTTTTCAATTATGCAAGTTCTATGGATTCGAGTGGGGATTGGTTCTTGTGGACCAACTAGTGATGTGTCAAAACCGAATCTCAAATCTCAAAACCATCAAAACTTAGGAAAAGTTTCGGTTTCGAGATTCGATCACCAAGTTTTGAGATTCAAAAGTTTCAAAATTGAAGATTTTGGCAGTTTTATTTTTTAAACTGCTGAAATTTTTTTGTGCCATTGTTATTGTTTTCAATGCTGTTTCCAAACAAGCTGGTAGAAACAGAGCAAACATCACCATTAACAGTAATGAAACAAGTAAATTTTATTCTGAACTTTAAAAGGTATCTTAAATACTATAACTGGTACAATTCAGTTTCACGTCAATATTTACTAAACACAAAGAAATATTAACCACTAATTAATTGTTCTAATTAATCTAATATTCATGTCTATGTTGGTGTTAATTTTTTTTTGTTGGTTGTTTATGAAAAATTATTTTGTATTGGGTTTTAAGATTATCAGTCACATTCACATATTTATGTTATGTCACGGTCAGGAGTCTATCTCTTTCAGTTTTGATTGCATGCTTAACATTTTATGATTATGTGTATTTTTTTGTAACCTTAACCTTTGTAACCAGCTAAGTAAAAAAGTTTCACGTTTAGGTTTTGAGATTCGAGATTCGAGATTCGGGATTCGATTTTTTAAAGTTTCGGTTTCGGTTTTGAGATTCGAAATTTCTGGTTTGGACCATCACTAGGACCAACTATTATAGAAAATGATTATGCGAACAAAGACCAATGGGTTATTGCCTTAAAAAGTGTGGAAGGTGTCGGAGACTTGTCGGATCGGAGAGTGTCGACTAGTGGGTTCCCTGCTTTACTGTAATTTAATTATAAAATATTGCAGTTTCCATTAGTAATCATCAATCAAAGAACCATGACAAATAAAATCAACCTTGTTTGTACAAGATGAAGATACTATAGTGAGAAGCTTTAAGGCCTACCATACACGTTCCGGTTTTCCTTCAGTCCCGGACTGTACAGTCCTGGACTGAAGGAAAAACTGAACGTGTATGTCGATTCCTTCAGGCAGATCGTTGGCCGGACGGCCGGATGTGAAACACATCCGGCCAGGCCCGGCCTTGAGGCCGATTTGAACGTGTATGGCGAATCCCGCAGTCCAAGACAGTGCTGCTTCCCCCCTCCCACCACATTTTCAGCATTATCGCATGTGCATGTGACTTTTTTACTTCAATAAGCAAAGAACACCATAACAGGTACATGAGGGAAGCAGCTTATAAAGAGTTATCAGATTTATGAACAAATCTGACACAAAAAGAACAAAGGATACTGTGGTGAAAAAATAAACAACTTACGGAGTGCATTTAGAAAAGAGTTACAAAGTAAAATTTTCACAAAAGTGGTACTTCAGTGAGCTTAACTTCCTGTTAGACCAAGAGGAGGCAAGACGACTCCTGCCAAACTGTGCAGTTCCGGACTGAGCGTGTGTGGGGAGGTCACGACTCCGGCCAAACTGTGCAGTTCCGGTCTCAAGGCTCGGCCTTCAGTCCGGGACGGAACGTGTATGGTAGGCCTAAGATAGTTTGTACAATTAAATTTTGTTGTGTTGCAAAAGGATTCAGACTTTCTTTTGTAACCAATGACAAGGATTCCAATCAGGCTCCAAAGGTACTTTTCCTACCGCTGCATGTAAATTATCACATTGCCACAACTGTAAAAACGCAAAATAGCTAATTTTTGGTTTATTCATCACTACTCATGTTTCTGAGCAGTTGATTTCACAGTTGGTGTTTCTATAAAACACTAACATCTGGTAATGCATCACTATGAAAGTAAAGCCTTCTCTAATACAAGGTCGCAGCCTTGTGTTGGTGTGGCAACATCGCGCCGGCCAATCTATTGCCATGGAAATAACAGTAATAGCGAACAGGTTAACATAAAACTAGTGTAGACGTTCTATTATAAATTAGTGCAAAAGCTGTTTTGGTTTGTTTACTACCCAGCTTTACCCGTTTTCATATTGAATTACGAGTTCCTAATGTTTTGTGTTGTGTTTTTATTTTAATGTAAATGTAAGTGATGCTTTCGTATCGTACCAACCGATGAAGTGGTACTGTAGTACGGTTGCAGTGAACATGTTGTGGTGACCAATACTGAAAGGAATAGTTGAAACAAGGTAATTACAGCCTACAGTAATAATGTTTATTATAGTTCATAATAATGAATTCTTATAATTTCCTGTGCCAACTTGGAGAACAATATTCCTTTGTATTTATGGCATTTCCCAGTTTTTATATTGCATTCTTATGGCATGGCTCCTAGAGAGATCCCTCTACCCACTGCTGCTACCCTCTGGCAATGTGAACCTGGACACTATGGATCGTCTGCTCAGCAAGGGAGGAGTGCCTACAGACCTGGTGGAGGTCTACACAACAGTTCCTCATCCGAGAGTAGAGGAAAACCTCAGATCTGTCTTGGAACAATCCATCCCTCACTACATAGTGTACTTCAGTCCGTCTGGTGTCCACACTTCCTACCCCATACTGAAAGAGGCTGTTGATGTAGAAAAAACTAAGGTACTTAGTGTTATTGTTTAATAGTTTTCGTTGTGTTTGTGTCATAACAAAACAAACTATTTTTCAAGGTTTTCAGCATATTAAAGTACCGAGTGTACACAAAAGAAGTAAACAACTTTGTTTAAAAATTACTGCGAAGTTTTACTCACTTAGGAAGAGTAAGATACACCATTAGAAAGATAATACCTCAAGCTTTTTCTATGTACTATAAGTTTTCAATATGTGAACTATGGTTAGCTTTGTAGACATTTATTCTAAAATCAAATTCCGACCAAACCTTTTGAACAGTGGCCTAATCAACACATTGGACTGCAGCAGTATTGGGATGCGTAATCTCCATGAGATTCAATGGCAAAGGAGGTACAAAAACTATGTCTTTGACATAACCCCACAAGAATAAAATCACATGGGGTTAAGTCTGGGCTTCGTGGACGTCTAATGTAAGAGGTGCAGATTGTCGTCAGCAGCACGGCCAATCCAGAGCTGCAGTAGACTGTAGTCAAGGTAGTCTCTTACATCGTACAGCCAGTGTAGTGGATAACACCATCTTTCACTCCATACCCACCTTGGGCGTTGATATCCTCAAAGTGTTTACAACCGTTCCACGGATTAACTCAACCTGATCATTACACGTTGCTGATCTCCTGGAGCTCTTTCCTTTTCCTAAGTAGCCCGTGGCCTTCCGATGCCAGTCGTAGATTGACTTCCTATTTGGAGGGTCTCTATGATAACACGTCCAAAAAATACGTTGAACAGTGGTAGCAGATCAAGTTCTTTCAAACTTCAGAACAGAAAAAGACTTTTCTGTAATAGTATTGACCATTTTTAACTAATTCAATAAATAACATTTTTTACCACATTATTTGGATTGTTGACAACTGTGTGCCAGCTTTGTGGGAAAAACTTGGGGTGTTTCCGACACAGTGATGACAACCGCAGCAAGGTCGGGCGCTTAGATTGTGATAAATTTATGTACAAGTTGTTTACTTATTTTATGTACACCCGGTATAATTCATCAAAAAGTTGAAACTGTTTCAAGAGTTGCGGTATCATTGGTTGCTCAGTGATTAAATTGGAACAATCCTATTTTGTCCTTTAACTCATGTTAGGCATTAAACCTTTCGTGTAAGTACCTGTTTCGTGGCTAGGTAGCCACACTAATGCTAACCCACTGGGGCTAACTAGCTCATTAAATCTAACTTGCAAGCGCCAGTAGCAACGTGAGCTTATAGTGGTTCACATTATTTAGTAACACAAATAGTTATTTGTGTAACTAGTGTGCAAAGTGACACACTTTGCTGCACACAAGAGAAACGTTTCTCAAGTGCAGCAAAGGCACTTTTCACTCACGTAACACATTAAATTTCTCCTACAGTTACTATAAAGCATATAAATAATTAATTAGACTTTCAAACAATATACAACACGTTTTTAGGTTATGTTAAATCCTGGCGTAGAACGAAATGGGAAACACTGCACCACTGTATTGTAGTTGTAGTATCTTTAGGTGTTTTCAACTTATTTTCAAGCGTACACATATTAAGTGTTTTATAAAAGCTCATTGTTTTGTGTTGTTTGGTTGGAATACTGGAGTGCGGCAAAAGTAAGTAAATGCCAAATGCAGCAATTAGCTACTTTGCGTGCTATAATCAGTGCAAGGAGGCTCACTTTGCCAGGTAACTGTAGGAAAATAATCATGATGCCATTTTTTCAGTGGATATCTATTGGACCCACAACAGGGGCAGCTATTGAATCTTACGGAATAAAAGTGTCTGCTTCGGCTGCTAAACCAACACCCGAGTGCTTGGCAGCTGCTATTGCCAGCAGTTCATAGTAAGTTTTTCATTTTAGTTGAACTTTTAGGTTCAACTAAACATTAGTACCACATTAAATGCATTAGTTGAACATTAAGAACGTTCAAATAATGGTCAGTATGAGCAACCAAATTAACAACAACTTAAGATTAAATGGTATTTTGCTATTATAGATTTGAATTAAAAAGTGTGTAACCAATATTGACCAGTTATCAGTTGGTAAAATGTTTCTGTTTATTTAACTGTGTTATTAGCCTAATCATTAAATACTTTACTTTAATACTTTATTCTGAAATGGGGACTATTAATACCATTGACTATGTTGTAGAGTTTCACAGAGTGCTTATAGAATAACTTTTTTATCCTTAAGTGAAACCATGATTATTTTCCATTTTGGCAAACAAGCTGACATTATTTAGCTGCAGTTTCAAAATGTTAATTTTTTTCAGATATATGTAAAAGAACTTATGGTATAGCAGAAAATTGTAAGCATTTATTTCTCTGCCCATTGTTGATTGATCTGCCCATTTATTTACAGAATTGAGACAATGCCTCTAGTAACAGGTAGAGCTATTTGATATTTGAAAAAGCTATTTGATATGATAACAGAAATAAATTGTCCTACTACTGCATGGAAATTATGACATTTTAACACCTGAAACAGTACGGTATGCAAAATATCTAAATTTCGCTTTATTCAATCCCGCTAGCTAAATCAGCTGATTTCACTGTTGACATCTCTATAAAACACTAACATCCAGTAAGCAAATAACATAACCTAATTGACAATTTATATACAACTAAAAAGTGAATCTGTGTGTTATGATAAGTTAATTCTGGTGGTAGGAAAAATCTTGTGTATATTACGAGCCCAAAAGTCTTGCCACTCTCAAAAAGGATGGCCGTATGAAGCTTCGAGCGGTGTGCGGCAATGTCATTCTTTACACTCTTAATAGACAGAAATAGCTATTTTGCTTTGAATGCACTTAATGAAACTAGTCTTAAAATTTAAAACTTGTTGCCTGGCTTGAAGAATCTTCACTGCTTATTAATTAATCTGCTCATGCTTACCATTGTGGTTAGAGTTATTGCCTTGTATTGCTAAGAAAATAAAAATATTCAATAACTTTTATCTTATCCAAATAAAATTAACATTGGCTTAGAATAATAAAAAGTTGGTCAATTAACCATCTGCCAAAACATGGCCACTGGATTTGCATCCCGATCCCACCACTAAAAGTTTCTCAGTACAATGTATCTTGTACTGAACACTCTTTGTTTGCACTTGAGGCCCATGCCATTCATTCTCCTTGGGATTGGACATAGAGATATCCTCTTGGAGTAGACATACAAGGGTTGTCCGTCGTAAATTAAGGTCTCCATCCCCCCATTGCAGCAACACAAGCTAGTTCAAATATAAGACCAGAGATGTCTTTTACTTCATCCATTCTAGCCTGTAACCACTCCTATAAGGATAATAGTCTCTTCATAGTATTCATAAATGTTGTAAGGACAATTGACGTTCCCACCAAGTAAAGTTTGTGTTCAGCGATTAGCTTCTGGGGGTCCTTCAACCGTGATTGAAGTCCTTTGCCAGTCAACAGATATTAACTTTTCGGACGTGGAAATTGTACCGAAGATTCGGAGGGTTTTTGCAGGTGGTCTTTTTGGATGGAAAACATTTGTACAAAGTTTTCCATTGCTTAGGTTGTATGCTGTTTTTTATCAGTCTCGTTGATAGTTGCGACTTAATTTAGGGGAATTTTGCATGTGAATCACAGTGTCATTGAAAGAGAGGTATGGTCGAAATAATAGAGGAAATAATTATGGTGTAGAACTATAATGGTCTATATGTTGTTCCCCGGGAAGCCTTGCAAGTAAGTATACTTGACAGCTAAGTGAAATATGTATTGCAAAAAGTAAGGTTTGCAGAAGGACAAGGAAAATTAAGTGGGACCTCTTTCTGAGTGACTCTAACTAACTAAAGTACAATTATTTTGAAGGATTTCTAATTGAGTGTAAATATTCTACATTGTGTTTTAAGATAGTAGGGATCTTTCCAAACGGGAAGTTATTATTGCCTATTACCCATGTGAAAAATTACGTCAAATTTTGAATCTACTAGATTTGTTTTATTTGGCTATCAGATAATAATGTTTTTATCAACAGGCTTAGCTATGTAAAAAATTAATTTAGGATGTGTGTTTTTTTCATCTGGTTTTATTCATTTAGAGGGGGTTTGGAAACTCGAGTTCAGCTAAAACGCGCCCAGTGTTAGGCGCGCCTAACTTAAGTACGCTGATCAAAAGCTGGGCTTGGGAGCTTGTGCCTATGTAGAAATGGTCGTAGAGCAAGTATAAGCGGGCCTAAGTCGCAGCACGGCTAGATGGTCAGGTAATCGCGGGAAATCTAGGTTTTGAGGTTCGCAACGACCACTGCAGAACATGTTACTGTCGACAACAACAAAAGATGAACAATTAACGATGAATACAATTTAATCTTGGTATATCAATGATGGCTAATTAGTAGCCTATTAGTTATATTTTTGTAAGTTTCTGCAAAAATGTAGTGTTGTGTTTTACATCTCAATGCCTGAAGAACCATAATTTTTTTATTATAAAACCAATTTTTAAGAGTTAACTTTATTTTAACTTTACGTTTTAGAAATATTTAATCAGTTGCAATATCTTTAATTACTACACCTTATAAAGACGTACAGAGCAACAAAGGTTTCTGAAAATCAATATCATTTATTTCAGAGATCAGAAACATTAATCACTTAACAAATTTTACCCCATGTTTGGAACAGTAACAGCTGAAACTCAAAGTCATGCAATAAAAAGCTTCAAAATTAAGATACTATACCCCCTACCATGTAGTCAATTAGGTAGTATACTTAAGACTAAGTAGGCCAAAGACATATATATTTTATGGTTCTCAAATTTCACAAAATACACTTTCCAAATAAAATCAAATACGCTCTTATTACTTCCAAATATTGTACTAAATAATAAAATACTGGAAAGGTCTTACTTTAATCAGAGACACTGGGTTTAATGGTCAGAACTGGAACTAGCAGTTACCATGCAAATAGAAGTGGTACAAAGAAGCTACTGGACCAAGAAGTGGTAGTACCAAGAAACAAGAAGTGGTTGATATCTGTCTAAAAACATCACACAAATCCGATAAAAACTATTCTCTACAAATTCTAATAATTAAAAATGGATTTAAGATCCTTACAACACTTTGTGACAATGTGCTTCTCACGAACAAAACTCTACAGGTCTGTATGAACTTTACTTGTTTTCTTTTCTTGTAAAATGCATTACAATTGGTTTGAAAACTATTCTTTACTTTACATATTTTTCCAAAAATGATTTCTACAAATGCTATATACAATAAATCTCTTAAATCTTATTATTACACAATATTAAAATCTACTTACAATTTCTACAGCAACCACATTTAATAGACCATCATTTCCACTGAACTTAACTGACACAACTTGAATTTAGTGATGTGACGAGTTGAGTTGGCGAGTCGAGTTGACTCGAGTCAAGACCCGAGTCGAGTCAACTCAATTCCAACTCGAGTTCTTTTACGAACTCGTACGGAGATTGCCGAAGCTACACGAACTCGTAACGTTACGAGTCCGACTCGCAAAAGCCGAGTCAAGAAACCGAACTCATACGGAGAAAGCCGAACCTTAACGAACTCGGGACGTAACGAGTTGACTCGAGTTTACTCGCACTCGCTTTCGGCCAATAGCGTCACAGCTTTACGAGTCAACTCGCATAGATTCAACGCTATTGGCCGGTACCGAGTCGGCCGACTCGCAAAACTAACGAACTCGTACGGAGAATGCCGAACTCACACGAACTCGGAACGTCTCGAGTCGAGTCGAGTCGACTCGTAAAGCTGACACGCTATTGGCCGGTACCGAGTCGGCCGACTCGCAAAACTAACGAACTCGTACGGAGAATGCCGAACTCACACGAACTCGGAACGTCTCGAGTCGAGTCGAGTCGACTCGTAAAGCTGACATGCTATTGGCCGGTACCGAGTCGGCCGACTCGCAAAACTAACGAACTCGCACGGAGAATGCCGAACTCACACGAACTCGGAACGTCTCGAGTTGAGTCTGACTCGACTCGTAACTCGAGTTCACGGCAGTTGGCGAGTCGAGTCAGGAAAGTACCCGACTCGTCACATCACTACTTGAATTTGTTATCTAGACCACTACCAACCTACAAAGTTAAATCTTTTAAAATCTAGGACACTATTTCTTAAGCTTACTTTAGCCAATGATTAAATAATTTAATTTTGTTTAGGTCATTTCAATTTACTTAATTTACCACGGTACAATACATTGACAGAAATAACAAAAACAAAACGTAATTTTGGAGGTAATGATTGTGTGAAGCCGAGGTAAATGTAAAATATATATTTTAATGCTTAAAAAAAATTTGTTGCCAATTTAAAAATTTTTAAACATGACACCCTTTTGATATCACTAGCACTGGGTCCCAATCAGCTCAGTCACAGCGCAATTAAAAGAAAACAATAATGACTGTGCGGCTTCTGTGCAGTTTTTTTATGTTTTGTTTACTATCTCTTTACTCTTTCATAGGGGTGATGGGTAGGTGTGGGGGGAATGTATGCAACTTATTTTTTTCGTAGCTAATAAAATCTATATATTTAATACACAGTTGTAACACTGTTTTCTTAGTAATTACTGGACCGATCCACAAGATCTATGTGTCAAATTAAAGGGGATCATACATAGATTTGCCGAACTTCATTAGAATTCACGTTTTTTCTAATGGTTAAGACCTACAGCCCTTCAAAACGACCGTGAAGACAGCTATCGCCAGCTGTCGACCCTACATTTTTTCCCCTCCCACAACGACTTCCCCTCTTCTCCCTCTCGACCAATCAGATAACGCCTAGAGTAGAGTTGTACAGTTGATGTTAAAAAAAAGACCTCGCATATGCAACTACCTACTACGGATAATTTACAGATTTCCAAACCAAAACTAATTCGCTATACTTATTTATTAAGTAGTGAATATACTTAAATAATATATGTATTACGACAAAGTATACTAGTGGAAAATTATATAGTTATTTACTTTTATCGCAATATACATATATTACCTAAATAATGTATAGACTCGTTTCTACCTAAAGCTACTGTTTAAAATATAAAAGTAACTATAAAAACTCAGTATAAATAAATTTTTTATTTCAAAATGTCAATATACACTATATTATTATATATTATAATTAATATACATCTATAGATGTATATTAATTATATACATTATATAATTATTAAATTATATTAATTATATACATTAATTATATACATATAGAGGTAGGTATATATGTAAACTTAAATCGTAACAATGTAAATTGTAACCTAAAAGTGTACATATGTTATAACAAAATAAAAAGTGGTGGAAAATAGGTCAAAGTTCCCCTAATCCCTTCCATACCGCTTATGCTGAAAAATCCAGCCAACCTTCGACGGGTAATAGAATTATGTTCCTTAACAATTCCCA